CATCCCACCTTCATCCACCCTTCCATAGCATATCGCCCATCATTTTCCACGCTCCTCCTGTAATCGGATTCGGCACCATCCGGGCGAGCGTGTAACTGTGACCCTGCAGCGCAGCCCCCTTCCCACAACCAGGCGGACAACGCAGGGCTCCAACCAACCCTACGACCATCCCACTGAGCGAGCTTGACATCGCCCCTTACAAGCCTGAGCTGGATCGACTCGCGCAACCAGATCTGATCGGCAATCGCTCGGATCGCCAGCGAACCGTCCCGAATCAGACCGCGCCTGGCTCTGGCTGGCCTCGTCCGATGCTGGTGAATCTTTAAAAAGAAATAACGGCATGAACATAAACTCTTGGCGCTCCGCGCGGATTTCTTGGATCCGCGCCGGACCCCCCTCCCTGGCGCGCGGAGCGCGCCAGGGGCAGCGACGGAGGCGCCGCCAGGGGGGCCCAGCGCGGATCCAAGAAATCCGCGCGGAGCGCCCAAAGTTTATGTCTATGCAGTCTTTTCTTCTTCGAGAATCGAAGCAAACCGAATCGAATCGGAATCGCGGGCCCAGCCCGCGAATCGAATCGCATCGACTCGGATCTCGGGCGGCCCTGCCTCCCAGACCCCCGAGGTCAAGATTTTTTTTCATTGCGTCGACCCCCCGAGGGCTCGACCCATTCCCTGGGACTGGTTTTTCGCCCCGAGCCGTTCTTTGACGGTCCCGAGGCCACGTAAGGGTCAGCCACGCGCAGAGGGGGGTGGGGAGAGGGGGGAGGGCTTCTTAGAAGCGCTCCTGCTTCTTAGAAGGCGCGGGCACTATCTATAGATGTCAGGCCGGCGCCCTCTGAGAAGCAGCCTCCTCCTAAGAAGCCCTCCCCCCTCCCTTCACCCCCGTGTGCGCGCCGAAACCGAAAATGACGGACAACCTCCCGTCGTGGTTATTTCATTGCGAGCGGGGACCGTCCCGGCATTCCTATAGGCCTACGACGACATGTTCTTAGAATGTTCTAAAACAAAAACGACGTCCTTAGAACATCAAGACCAAGACGATGTCTCAAAACAGGACAGCCCCAGCCAGGAATGTTCCGAAAGCATTTCGAGCAGATCACCAAAGGTTCTTAGAACACCCTCTGGTAGGCCTATGTTCTACTATAGGCGACCCAGGACGCTTCGCCACTGCTTGACCCAGACATGCGACGTCCTGATTTTTTCAGGACCGCGTCCCTGGAAGTCCCGACCCTTTCCCCGGGACCAGTTCTTCGTTCTGAGTCGTTGTTTGACGCTCCCGAGGCCCGGCGAGGGCCCCCGGGGGCCGAAAACGGCGAGACACTGGCCGCGGCCTGCTTTCTTTACGACGCGATCACGTCTGGGGATCCTTCTGCTCGAGGGGGCCTGGGCTCGTCGCTCCCCTCCCCCCGCCGGCCGGGCCCACCGGCGCCCTGCCGCCGCAGAAGAGGGCGGGGCCTGCCCGCGCCAGCGCCGAAGACGCAGTGCGCGGGGGGGGGGGGGGGGGAGGGCGGCGCCCGCTGGGCCTGCCGGCGCCACGGGCTCACGGGCCTCGCCAAAGATGGACAGAATGACCAGCCTCCTCCTCCTCCTCCTCCTCCTCCTCCTCCTCCTCCTCCTCCTCCTCCTCCTCCTCCTCCCCTCCTCCTCCTCCTCCTCCTCCTCCTCCTCCTCCTCCTCCTCCTCCTCCTCCTCCTCCTCCTTGGGAGGTGCAGCTCTTGGGAGGCCAATTTCAGAAGCCGCGCGGTATATTACCAGCCTCGAACTTATCCCTATCCCTAAGATTGACACGCCACAAGCCGATGACAGTCTTCGGGATTCGCCCTCAAAAGATAAGGGAATCCCCAAGATTGGCATCGTGATGAGGAGGTGCCCAGCATAGGGATAGGGATATGTTCCAGGCTGGTAACAGAAGACTTCTGGATTCGGTGATTGTGGGGTCAGCGCTGCTTCAGCGCTGACGGATTCCTCAGGACTCGGGCGCGGTGCTGGCCAGAAACCGGCCCCACCCTCTCAGCAGTGAGGAGCGCGCGTTCTGACAACTGCCCGAAAGCATTGTGCTCCGGGATTTCAGCTTCCATTTCTGGATTGTTCTGACGAGGCTTGTAGGTCCGGCGTGTCCCCCTACTCCGAATCCCTTCTTAATCGTCCGAAGGGCATTTTTGCAACTGGGGGGGTCTGGTTTATTAGGGCGCTTCCTTTGGATTGGAGCTTCGGGGGTCTGGTTGATTAAGGCGCCCCGTCGACAAGGGGTCCGGAATATCAGGTCGAATTTGGAGGGGGGTCCGGCTTTTTAGGGGGGGTCGATCTATAAGGGCTTTGGAGTACAGGGGGACTTTGGACGAAAACTCAAAAATAGTCAAACGAATACTCCAAAACTGTCAAACATCAAAAATGGTTCACAAAAATCGTCCCCAGACTATTTGTGTTACCAGTTTTGATTTCATATCCCTCCTGTAATGCGGGATGACGATTAATTAAAAAAATGGGGGGGGAACGATTAA